GGTGTGGGTGGAAGAGAGGGTGACACAGGGCCGTTGTACTTTTTATTTGACCGCAAGTTGAAATGATTTCTTCGATTAATATAACAATGTACATGTCCAAGCAGTATAAGTTGATTATCCCAGTTTTCATTAAACTACATTATTTTGCAACAGAGTTTTTGATTTCAGCAAGTACTTTTTTGTAGCGTGTCACACAATATCAAACAGGCCCGGCCTCAGCCTCACAGTGACTTTGTTTGTTTCCTGCTGTCGCTATAATCGTGTTAATCATTGTGTGACAAAAAAAGTCAATGATAAATTATAGGTATTTCTTTAGATTTAACATAAAAAAACCTCATCATCCCCTTGGAAATTGCGTCCATAATAATTTCTTCTGTACTCCCGGAGTTTGAAAGAAAAGTTTATATATTTGATATGCTCATTGTTTTTGTTTTGTCGTAAAAAAGAGTACCAATGCTCAAACATATTAGAGACAAACTTTGACCGGGACGGTTAAGCTCTTAAAAGGGTAGCATAGATAGTTAATCTTTAAAACATTCCAAGGGGATAGAATAATCCAGTTATAGGGACGTTTACAGATCATTGCATTGGACCTGAAAGGTATCGAGGTTAACTTGTTCCTTTGGGATACTGTTAAGCTTTAACTTCACTATTATTCCTTGTTGTTGGCAGTGGAGTCTCTTTTATCATGAGACATTAAGATGAGCACATCAGTGAGCTTTATTAGTAATAAAGACAATTATTTGGTTGAAGCTGCTTAAGTAGTGATGCTTGACATTCAAAACTAAAGAGAAAGATGTCTATTAATTTAAATTACGTCATCGATATTGAAAATCTGATCTTGGCCTACTTTATCATTACATTTAATATAATGATGTATAACTCAAAATGTTAAATCTTGAACCAACTCGCACCATTGACTGTTAGAAAAGCAGCATTGTAAAGCTCACACAACAGGAACAGCACACAGTTTATGAGGCGACGGGCTAACGGCAAAGCTCACTATTGGAGTCAGATCCAATTCATCCTCTGAAACTCCTGGAGGAGGAGTGAAACGAAAGTGCTGCAAGAGGCTGGTAAAGAAGAGGAAAATCTCCATTCTTGCCAGACTCTCCCCAGGACACTGCCTGCGACCTGTGAGGGAAAACAAAAGGAATATTTTCAACTCGTCTGAAAAATAAGTGAATATTGAGGAGTGATGGCTAAATTCACAAACCTGCTGAAAAAGGCAAGAAGGCATCTCGCTTGACAAACTTCCCATCTTTGTCCAGGAAGTGAGCAGGATAAAAGCTGCTGGGGTGTTCCCACTCAGTCTCATCACACAGGACGGATGTCAAGAGAGGATACACTGTGGTCCCCTGTGGACAATATACAGTATTTTCATTTAGTGACAAGCCACTTAACTCAGCACCCCCAATTTGAATTATGTAGGATTCATTCTTCCAAGTCATCTTGGGTTCTTTAGGTGTTTTATTTTATCCAACCTTCTTAATGAAGTGACCCTGGAAAGTGATGTCTTGGCTCATTTTGTGAGGAAGTGCCATGGGGACGATGTTAGCCAGTCGCTGGATTTCGTGGATGACGGCATTTGTGAAGTGCAGGTGATGCTTGTCCTCAACCTGCACTTGACGACCTCCGTTAACCTTGCTTAGCTCCTCCTGGACCTGTTCTGGAAGACCAGATGTTTGTGTCCATTAAGATTATTTTCTTTAGTTGGTGAGCACATATTGTTTCCTGGACTGTTTTTGAAAATTGTGAGGATTCTAAGCTCTCTCTAGGTCGTCCTCAGACGAGCCCTCCATCGTCGCTTCCAGTCTTACCTTGTATTTTTGGATTCTTGGCCATATATAGTAGTGCCCATCACAGTGTAGTTGCTGTTGTGTCAGTGCCAGCAGTAAAGAGATTAAGAACCGTCTGTATCAGGTTTTTATCATGGAAGTGACTGTCTGTGATTCCGGATTCCTGCGAGTAAAGATAATTCAGTTATTCAAACAAATCTGAATCAAACCTTTGACGTGTTACATAGGAGGGCATTTTTTGTTTTGTTGAGGTAGTAGTTGGCCAGCTTTTTTAATCATTTAATCAAAGGGCTGACTAGTACTGATGTAGTCATCTCTATTGTAAATTACTTCTCAAAATGTCCGAATGTTAATCAGGATATCTGTAAATCACTTTTGATATGGAGAAAGTAATTTCCTCTTTCACTTAAAAAAACACATCACAATACAAATGTAACATGTCGAACAAAGAATGTTGACCAATGCAGTTTCCCATCATCATCAACATCTTCATTTTTAATATGTCGAAATATCAACAAACCATTTTTGGTCATTGGCCAACATTGCCATCTTCATTTCTGATATATGGCCCAAATTGCCATGCGTATTTATGACTCACAATATTAATATTTCTATAACTACATTTTTGACTACAGGAAATTATTTTTTATAACCTAAATTCAAATTTTACCAGCTTTAAATTCATTTGAGACATTTTACGTATAGTTGTTTCAATACAAATGTTTCAGTAGTTACAACTGGAAAACAGATATCTGATATAATAGTAATAATCAATAATAATTATTTTCTTTCAAGTCACATTTAATTTTTTGCTATCCAGATTTCCATTTATCTAATCTGTAATGTAAACATATTCATTTCCACTGGTAAAATCAATTGTCAAAAATGTGAATTACTGCTTTTTTTATTATCTTATGGACATGTTGGCTTGGATCTCTATAGTCAGAAAGCAATTGCTGATTTCTAAAATGTCTATTACTGCTGGTGGTTAACTGTTAGAACAAATTGCATTACCTCATTTGTCACAAACAACTCAACTGGTCACAGAAAAGGTGTAGACGGGGTAAGTAATGAAATGCTTCCCAAGCTCAACATTTTGCTTTCGGATCAGAAAGGCGTCCACAAATCCTCTGCACATCTGTGGATTGAAGGTCTCTTTTAAACGACTAAACAACTGCTGATTCTGTTTCTTGCTCTCAACAATTATCGTGTGAAGTTCCTTTCTGTCAGCAAAGAAAAACAACATCTTAGAAGTCGGGTTTCAGAAGATACCACAGTACGGAAACTGCACTAACAAAGGTAATTAGTGACCTCAGACTCAACTCTGATGCAAATAAAATNTAGAAATACATCTATTAATTTACATCGATATTGAAAATCTGATCTTGGCCATTTAACATTTTGAGTTGTACATCATGATATTAAATGTAGTGATAAAGTAGGCCAAGATCAGATTTTCAATATCGATGTAAATTAATAGATGTATTTCTATTTAGTTGCTAATGTCACTACTTTTAGCAGTTTCACCCAGATTATCATTTTCTTTATTACTAATAAAACTCACTGATATGCTCCTTTTACTATCCCATTATGACAAATAGACTTCAATGCCAACAACAATGTATAATAGCGAAGTTAAAGCTTAACAGTATGTAACTTAACCTTGATATGTTTCAGGTCCAATGTAATGATTTGCAAACTGCCCGATAACTGTATTTACTACATTCCAAAAGGAACTCTCCTGGATTATGATCACAGTTTCATACGTTCTCCTCTGTGAAAGTCCAATGTTTGTTTAACCAACCTATGCAAACGACCTCCCTACGGAGACAGCACTTACTTTGATTTAAACCCTGTTTGTGAAAATCAAAAACAGATGTTATCCGGGACAAAAAAAGCTTCCTTTAAAATGAGTTTCAAAAAAGCGGTTTTGTTTATATGGAACATTATTTTTAGCAGAGCAGGTAGCTTCAATTAAAATTGCTATTACTGTAGAATGCAGAACATCATGCTGAATCTGTGTATTTGTGAATGCTGTATCTCATACAGAAGATTGACAATAAAGTTGATTTTGACTTGATGCTAGAGGCTCCTCTGTCCCAGTTTAACATTAACTTTGGCTATCTGGATATGTTTGTGTTGGTCCATCTTGAAGCCTTGGTTAAAAATAAACCCTGACCTGGCAGAGCTCAGCAGGGCTTTATCATGTATATGTTGATCTTTGTTCGCTGGATGTGTGGATAAGTAACTGCTTGCTAACACAGTAGCATAACAACTTTGAAAGTTTATCATATTGGAGGTTTGTTGCTAAATTCTGCCACCTTGTGGGCTGAAGAAATGAAATCATGCACCTGAAAGTCTGAGAGCTAATCATTGTACTACTTAGCCGTTTACTCACCTTCTGTATTGGATGTATTTGATGAGAACAGCAGCAATGACGACCAGCACTACCAACCCCCTAATGATGATGTAGGTCCCATCAAGAGGGGGATCTGTGGTTGAAGTCATGTGTGTAGTCAGCCTCTATCGGCACATTGTGCTCATCAACAAACTGGCAGGTTCACCTCCTGTTGGTGCGACTCTAACGCTTTAGTTCCTGGTTCATCCACCCAGCGGATGCTGCTCCGTTGACAAGGACCAAGACCTGTGTGTCTCAACATGGAGCACTTTAATGCGACTTCACTGTCTCTCCTGCATCATGTGGAGATGGAGAGACTGAAACAAGATATGTAATCGCTTAAAACGTGGTTTAACAACATGTTAGTCATCTTCCAGGATGATCCTGGCAAGTTTCTTTCCTTCTTCTGTCATCAATGTTTTTCTTTGTTTGAAGGTGAACTGAACCAAATGGAATCAAGACCTCTGTGTTTTTCAAGAAAAAACATGGAACAAATTATAACCAACCACTGGAGATGATGCCCGTCCACTCCATCTACACTTGCTTCCTCAAACTTGATGGTGTGACGGAGACTTTCGTTAATCGCCCTCAAAATGTGCCAAAAGTAGAATTCCCATTTGATAATATCAATGACTGTTCATGGAAATTACTCACTTGTCAGAACACTTAGGTATGGACAGATATCCTGATTAGAGTGTGTCCGCTCCCTGGTTTAGTGACCAACATCCTCTGCAGTGACGTTGGTCATGACCAAAGAGCAGTTAGTGTTCAAGCTTAGACTGGCAGCTCGGGGAGGCTCTTCTGAACATTTTCGTTCTCTAACACAGTCAAAGATTCTGATAGATCTTGGTTGTAAAACCCAACGGTTGAGCATGAGGTTTCAGGGAATGATGCGGTGTCACAGTGTAGAATGGCATCTTGTCCAACTCTTCTATAGACAGAAGGGCATTTTCCACTAATGCCTGATAAAAAATAAATAAGACATCACGTGTGAAATAATCTGCAAGAAGATGTCCATTTTTTTTGTTATGGAACTTTGGGAACTATTCATGTCTTACCTCAACTGTTGAATCTATACTAAAGAATCACACATTTGATCATAATAACAAGTTTGACACAGATCTGTACATATTATGTAATTCTCTGAGTGTAATATGTTGTACTCTATGTATAAACTGACTTCATGCATTTAAAATATATTTGAATATTCCATCACATTACTGATTGTAAAAAAAATACTTTTGTCTCTTTTCTCACACAACATTTGGCTTATTTTCAAAGCTTATTAAAAGGTGCCACTAAAACAGGAAATCATGTCGGGTTCCTGTTATTAATTACAACTAAAGTTTAAATAAGGGAAAAAAAGAGACTTACCTTGAAACTGAAGTACCAAAATGAGAGTTCATGCAAGTAAAATGTTGCGTCCATTCTGTCAGACGTTTATTCTCTGCTACAAATATGCGATGATGCCGTTTCCTCTCAGTGGTTAGCTTATTGAGAAAAATGTCTTGTCCACCACACTGCTTGACGTACAGTAAGTCTAAGAGAGTAACACTTACCTTGCCCTTTAAACAGACAGCACACAACAGCCAAAAAAGATCTTGGACAGGCCTAAACACCATTAGGCCTCTCCAAGCTTTTGCATAAAGTTAAAATAAAAACACCAACATAACATTGTAAGAAACATGAACTACAGCTGAAGATGATGGGAATGCAATTAGTTATGCAGGTATTTAGTCAATATTTTAATATTGGACTACCTTTTTAACCAAGTATTGTGGCAGATCAAAGTTAACACAATTAATTCTAAGAGAAAGACAAAGGTGTGTAAAAGTTGAGACATGTCAGTCGAAAATGCTCACACCTGAATACACTCTATATCAGGGGTGTCAAACTCAAGGCCCGAGGGCCAAATCCGGCCCGTGACTTCATTTTCTGTGGCCCCACAAGAACTTGCAAAGAATATTATATGTCTATTATACGGTTACATGATGATTTACAGAAGCACGTTGTCCATAAACTACATGTCCCACAATACATCTCAAATTATACTTTTTCTCAGAATTTGACTTTTTTTCTTCTAAATATGCCTATTTTCTTAGAATGTGCCCTTTTCTCCGAATTTGACTCTTTTTTTTAAATGTTACTTTTTTTTTTTAAATGTCACTTCCTTTTTTTTCATTTTGACTTTTTTTCCCAGAATTTGGCTTTTCTTTTTAAATCATTTTTGTGACATTCTCACTGAAGAGACTTGCAATTATTTGCCCCAGACTTCTGCTTTCAAAGGTGGTTGATTATGAAGTGATTACCTGATAATAATCCAATGCAGAGGCAATAATGTAATATAAAACATTATTTTATATATATATTTATATATGTATTTTTATATAGTCTTAAAGTTACAACCGGCCCTTTGAGTGCAGCCCTAATGTTGATGTGGCCCGCGATTACATTGAGTTTGACACCCCTGCTCTATATCTTTGTAGCTTCAAATCCAGTCTCTATTGGATTCCAATGTAAAATAAAGAGGAGACAAATCCAAACTCAACTCAACAGCCGTGCATGGCATGAAAGATCACTGCACATTTTGAGTCCATGTTACTGTAGCTTCATCAGAATAAATGTATTCAACACTGCACAGCGCATATTATGGAAGCTTTATAAGAAGATGAAAACAGCACAGCCACAGTGCATATGCAGTAGCTTCATCTGAATATATAAGCGCATATTACACCAGAATATATAAAGTCCATAAAACAGCCTCAGCGCACATTACAGCAGTTTTTAACTATGTCTATTTAATGGAGACATATCCTAAATATATCTTGTTGTACACGCTACCTGCTTCTTTCTGAGGCTGTGTCTCTACCATCTTAGGTAAGAAGACTTCCAGGAAATGAAATAAGTTCTGAAACACTCCTGTCTTGTTGACAACTACTATATACAAACACACACAGAAAACACTTGTGCATAATACACAAGCTTCACACAAATGTGAAAATAGCCCAGCAAGGTGCATAGCTTAATTTGAATATATAAACAGTACTGGATGACATGTATTAGAGTAGCTTCAACACAATACAAAAGACCACTGAACAGAATAGATGTACACACCACTGCACATCTAAAGTGCATATTACAATAGCTTCATTTAAATATGAAAACAGCACAGCCACAGTGCAGTTTTAAAGTAGCTTTACCTGAATATGAAAACAGCACTGCACAGCTAAAGTGCACATTACAGTAGCTTCATTTAATAAAATAGCACAGTCACTTTGGATATTACTGTGGCTTCGTCATAACAAATATAAGCACTGGTTGCAGCAGCTTTATCAGAATATATGCGCGCGTGTAAGCACTACACGGCCGCACTGCACACACACACACACACACACACACACACACACACACACACACACACACACACACACACACACACACACACACACACACAGCACCACTTCCACTGTTGACTGGCTTCCAATAGATTATTTTGACGGCAGAAAATGTGCAGAGCAGGAATTATTGCATATCCTCTGCATGACCTCCCAGACGCATTACTCTGCCTGCCCTCTCACGGACAGAGGCTAATCGGATTTCATTTGGGTTGCAGATGCATGTTTCTGTTTGCCCTCTCATGTCCGTGTCTTTCAGAGCGGCATTTTTTAGGTAATCTTACTTAAATCAAACACCGTACCGAGTCCCCTGACATTTTGGGGATTTTGATTTCAAAGCTGCTCGACTCTTTGCCAGGCACAGATACTTCACTGGAGCCATGTCTAACCAGCTGTTTCAATCAGCTGGTTAGCTTAGCTTAACATAAAGACTGGAAGCATCTGGGTATCTAGCAATCTCATGTTGACAGAAATGAAGTCCCAGGCAAAGAAATGATCATGTAGCAACCACTGTGAAACCTACAGTTGCAAGGCAAGGCAAGGCAAGCTTATTTATAAATCACATTTCAGTAAAAGGCAATTCAAAGTGCATCAAGATATAGTGAAGCAGAAGCAAAGTATACTATGACATTTACATACATTTAAAAACAGTCATCAAAGAGCCAAGAGAGTAAAATACAAATAAAAGTTGCATGTTGTTCTCTTTGGTTGTTGTATAGTATATAAGATGTTATTAATTGAGCTTTAGGGGTGCTTGTTACAGATGTTTTTATTTATTTAGAGCTACGTTAGCTTATTCCAGCATTTATGCTAAGCTAATCTTACTTCACATTACATGACATGTCACTTGTTAGACGCTTTTATCCAAAGCCACTTACATACTCGATACTGTGGACAATCCCCTGAGGAGCAAATTGGGGTGAAGTGTCTTCAGGGACACAACGACATGCTGACTGCAGTGGGGTTTGAACCTGTGACCCCCTGTTCCGAACACCAACGCTCAACCCACTGCACCACATGCCTCCTTAAGGCTCATATAACCTGTAAAATACACGTTGTATTTTACTTTCCATCCAACTATCAGCATAAATGAAGAAATAGGCAGCATGGACAATATATTTGATCAGAAGCTCGTGTAAACCTGAACTGTGTCTCTGTACATTAGATAAAGTGTTTAGCTTGAACTCGCATCACACCCAGCTTATGCAGTGGTGACCCAAAGAAAGGGAAACATCGAGACGCATTGAAACTCCTCAAACCTCGAGTACCATTTCTCTGCTCATAGGTTTCAGGAGGAGCTTCATAGGTTTCAGGAGGTCTTTGGAAAGTATCTATTGACATTTTGATCTTTCTTTTAACACTATCTCCTTGCTGTGATGCTGAGGAATTTATTAACTTTTGGTTGAAAATGTTCAAGCCTACGAGTGGGAGGTTTGTTACAAGTTGGCAGGATGTTTGTTTAACCTCTTGAACATGATGCTTCGTTTACTCCGTTGAAGCAACATTCACAACATTTGGGAAATAGGCTTATTAGCGTCTTGCAGAGTGTTGGAAGAAGAACAAGAAGTTTGATACAACTTCTTCAGTCCAATGACGAAAAGGTTTACACACCAGCACTTTGAAATCTTAATTGTTCAAAGTGAATATCTTACTAAACCCAAAGAGAAAAACAAAAAAGCCGGTTTTGTGCACGTGTGTTTCTTGCCCGGGAACAGAGTCCTCACACTGATNACCTGCAGATTAGTCGAGATTGGATTACGAAAAAAGTGTTTTCCTTCCAGAATTCGCGTGAGATTTTTTGCCTCTCCTAACAGACGGCGGCTTGTGTTTGACCTTCGACTAAGTGTTTTCACCTCGAAACTATTCTTTTCCGAGACCGAGGGTAACATGAAAATCTTCTGAATCCTTGTTGGTTGTGGGACGAAGAACCCTGCGTTACGGGATCATCTTACATCCACATTCACTAAGAAATTCCATTCTACCGCGCGACGGGTAATTCCGGAAACATCTGCCTCTTCTTTCTTAAAAATTTAAAGTGATAGGACACAAGCGATAGCCTCGGTCACATTCCGTCCGGTCTTGTCCTATTATCACCAGGGAAAAGGTGTTGAGACCAATCATGTGCTCGACGTCGAAAACTTAGTCGACTTCGCTGAACTGACTGAAGAACCATGTGGGACTACTTATTTCCTCAATGTATTAGGTCGGAACTTCATTGTTTACGTACCTGATCAAAAGAGACGTAGCAAGACTCGTTCTATGCGGCACTAAAAACGTTACAATGCATCTACCTTCATCCGCCAGGAACTTTACCTAAATAAACCCGCGACATTTCCTATTTAGGACTAGTTTATATTGTGGTTCTAAGGAATGTCAGGAGTGACCTCCGGTTAATTTACGGTAGGTAGTACAATCATATGAAATCTATTCAAACAAAGCATCTAAGAAAGCCCGGTTCATGTTATTGAAGTCAAAACCAGCGACAGATTGTATGTATTTTCTTACATTCCAGGTATGTGCAAAAATTCAGGAACTCCGAGTCAGAACTTAAAATAAATCTACTAAGTAAAGTAGTCCGAACTTAACTATTTATATCAACTCATAGTAGGCGTATTGTTACCTTTCAAATGTCTATACTAAGGATATTATAACGGATTTGCTTCGTATTATATTACACTTGTGTTTATTCCAGGCTCGTGACTCGGGACACCGTGAGGTACCGATTGAAACCAAACGCACCCGTCTAGGTAGCAACGTGCATGTTTACTCTCGCAAGTCTATCTATCCTGTCGCGGTAACTATGCTTCTCAGATGCTGTTGCTCTCAGGTTTCTGGCCGGCCCCCAAATAGCGTGCAGCAAGTACACTGCTCCCTAGCAGGCCTTCAAAGTAGCGGCCCCGTTACACTTCCGTAACTGCCATTGTCGCTCTATCGTTGATGCTAAATCGCCCATTCTAATAATCACTTATTTCCCAAAACTAAACGTTATAAATATGTTGTTAGCTACTAAATCAAAAATGTAATTCATATAAAATTTCTTTATTTTATCTAGTACGATTATAATGTCACTATTCATAATCCGTCATCCTAATCACACTTGTTGATCAATTGCTGATATAGGCTTAGTTTGTTGGGGGACATCTTACTTCTTCCTTCTCTCTGTCTATACCTGTGTACTCTCATGTTCCGATTAACCCAGCTTCCCCAAATGTCTTTCTTTTTGGTGTCTATATACGCCGGGATCCGGAGTCATGGATGAACCTGCGGTCCTGTGTCATGGATCGCGAGTCCTGGATCTTGAGTCGTGGCTGTGGTCCTGGATCATAAGTCCTGGATGGATATCCTCGTGGATTCATCTTCCTATTATACACACATGCATTTCCAAACATTTGGACTACCTATGTTGCAAATGTATTATCTTTTCAATTTACACACTGCATCTATTGCACGTCTGTCCGTCCTGGGAGAGGGATCCCTCCTCTGTTGCTCTCCCTGAGGTTTCTCCCATTTTTCCCTTTAAACTGTGGGTTTTCTCCAGAAGTTTTTCCTTGTACGATGTGAGGGTCTAAGAGGGCTAAGGACAGAGGGTGTCGTATTGTCATACTGATATTCTGTACAAACTGTGAAGTCCACTGAGACAAATGTAACATTTCTGATATTGGGCTATATAAATAAACATTGATTGATTGATTGATTGATTGATTGTCCAAAATTACCGACCCCACCTTTAAGCATGATGTGGAAAACTCGTACTTCTCAATCTTTACTTTGATGAAAGAAGACCAAACTATGAGCCTTAATTGTCCTTTTTGAATAAATGTTTATTAAAACACGAAATCTGACAACAGAGAAGACGTTGGTATATATGGACACTGCCGTCTTTAAACTCACGATGACATTCACCCTTTGACAGTATTTCCCACATATACATAAATGGAAAGCACTGAAGGATCAAAACTAATTATAGAAGTTTATGTTTTTGGACATGGGGTATCAGACTACAGACTACAAATGTATAAGAGAAAAAACAATACAAGACATTTTTAGCTAAACAAAATTCAGTCATTCAAAATCATTTGAAGCTCAATTAATCAATTCATGTGCCTTCATTACGAAAGAAAACTCCCCAAACAGCGTGAAAACACTTCTGCATATTAAAACCAAAGCATAAAAGACCTTCTTTATTTACACATTCAGCAAAACATCATCCTATAAATTGAGTTAATCTGATGTATTGTACGTTCACTGTCTTTTAGCTCCATTTTTGGTCTCCGTCACCTCCTGAGAAACGTCCTGTCATTTACATGGAGCTGGCTGATGCTGGCATAAAATCAAAGCTAATAGCTAATGCCGAAGTTTGTGATATTTCTTTGTTTATCAGTCAAACTGTCTGTCGTTGTGTAAACAGAAAGCAGTCAGACAGATATTGTAAACTAAGATGTAAAAAGAGTCAATGGTTTGAACTCCAAGTGTGAAATCCCTGATGGTTTTTGAGTTTCTGACGAGCTGAAGATGTTGATCAGGGCCACCTAGCATTAGCAAGACGGACTCCCCCATTGTCATACTCGATGTATTCATCATTCCTAAACTTTGAAGCACAACACAAGAAAAGGGATTCTTAAAAATAATTTCAAAGGAACGAAACAAAGAGAATAGTAACGACGGACTAAAATAGAAAATAAAATTGCTTAATATTAGTTTTAGTTTCATTACTCACTTTGTTTTTGTCCTTAAGAATGCAGTTTGTGTTACCTAGGGGGGAAAGAAGAAAGAAAATAAGTATTACAATTCTATGATATACCAGTTCAACCGAAATTAAGATCTGAATTTCCTTACATATCCTTTTGATGATTAGGACGGCGCTAACAATAATCACGACCACTCCTGCAATACGCACAGCCCACATGGCGTAGCTATGAGGTACATCTGTGATATTATCTGAATGAAAGTACAATATTAAAATCAGATATTTGAAAAACCAATATGCAACGCTTTAGTATCTGGTGGGCTGCATTTTCTCTTACCTGGATTGGATATTTCCGTCTGGTTCCCGCCTAGGAAGTCAGGTGTGTAGTCAGACTGTATCTTTGTACCGCTGTGCTGTTCAAACCGACAGGTGTATTTCCTGTTGTGGCCGCTCTGCTGCCTCACAGTCAGAGAGGAGACACATTTCTCCTGTCCGTGAAAATGGTACCCGACATCTTCATCCAGCAGCACGGTTCCCGTCTCATCCACCCAGGGGATGGTGCCCTTTTGGCAAAAACCGAGTGTACTGTGACGAAAGAGAGAGCACTTTAACTTGACCTCACCGTCCCTCATTGGATCAGCATCTAGTGGAGATGGAGAGACTGAGAGAAGACAAGTGAACTCTGTGAACTCAGGATAGAAAATGATTTACATCTTCAAGTTAAAAGAAAACAGTTAAAATAATCAAGTATAGTCGTAGCACATAATGAAGATGTAAAATGGGACACTAAAGATACACATTTACAACGTGTAAAACAACTAACGCTAACCAAATGTCCCCCCCCCCCTTAAGGCAAGGGACAATAAGTTAGTCTATCTTCCAAAAATTTACCATTTAATCTATTCCAAGTCAAGTTAAAAACCACATCTAGTCAAGCCCTGGTCAAGACCAATTCAAAAGCAAACCAAATCCAGTCCTGTTCAAAATGGGCATATCCAATGCTGCTTTCACGCCTAATATGGTCAAAATAGCTTGGATAAAAGGTCCTTCTTGTTAATGCATCCAAACAAATGATAACAGTACATTTAGAAAGAATGTATATGTACGTTAAAAGTAGACATTTATGAGTCTGGGAAGGCATGAGTTCAATACCAGTGCAAGACATCCAGAAAGTGGAACTATAGCCCTGCTACAAGAACCTGACAAGTTCAAATGAATCCACTCACTGAGTCAGAATCAGAATAAGTGAATATGGTGAAAAACGGCAGATAGAAACGACTCACTTGTCAGAAGATTCAGATATACTTCCTCGCTCCCCCCACACTTGTAAAGTCCAACATCCTCAGCAGAGACGTTCTTCACGACCAAAGAGCAGTCAGAGTCCAAACTCCTGCCAATAAAGTCTATCCAAACATCAGGAAGAGTTGAATATCTGTTGAAAAGCCAAGCAACGTTTGAGCAAGTTGGGTCAGAAAATGATCGACCAACACAAGGCAGAGAGGCATTTTCTCCAGGTCTTGTGTAGACGATTTCTCCGTGGATGTTGGCTGAAAATAAAAATGACACCATGTTACACATACAATTATCTGAATACAGTAAATATCTGATAATAAAGATTCCAAGAAACACCACAGTGTATTACATTATAAACACATACAATAAACAAGATAATGATCCTGCTTTTTACCTCAGTTTATATCAAGCTATATAAATACTGTATCTTCAATTACAAAAAATGTATTGAGGAATTTCGGCCAATTTGTTTTATGCTTTTTTTTTATGTCAACACATTTTACCTGCAAAGTAGACGTTAATTGCCTATAATTGAAATAATCAGTAATAATCTTCATTGTGCTGATATGATACTTGATGGTATTTATGACAAGTTTTTATATTTCCTTTCTATCTTCTCTTACACAGTTGTCATTGGCATGTTGCATGAAGCAGAACATGTTGTAATTCTCCCTAAAGGCCACTAGATGCCACTGTTTCAATGCCCCAGTGTAACAGTCTGGTACACTGGGGTACAGCATCACAGTGTCGAGGCCCACCAGAAAAGAGGATACATGTGAATTTAAAATGTGGTTTTGCATTATATAGATAGAGATGAATAGTAAATAGAGATAAATAAAAACATAGATTCAGATAAATGTGAGACAAAACCCAGTTTCATACCGAGGCTGGCCTTTCTTAGACGTTTAACCTTGTCTGGTCTTATTCTGTATTCCTCTTACTGTCACTTTAAAGACACAATCAAAAATATGTAGGAGGAAATGTGCATGTTGTCATATATATTTTCAGCTGCACTGTCAAGTGAAGTGCCATCGTCGAGAGGAAGTAACCCCCCCCCCCTGCTCTAGATGCTTATCTACTAGAACAAGCACGATACGATAAAGATAGAGATAACCACAACAAATAAGAACATTTCAGCCGTNCCCCCCCGCTCTAGATGCTTATCTACTAGAACAAGCACGATACGATAAAGATAGAGATAACCACAACAAATAAGAACATTTCAGCAGTAGTAAAATGTTAAAGGTACTGTTCAAATAACGTAAACATTGGAAACATGTGATTATTTACAGAGCGTCGATACTGGTTTTAATGGAAAATCTAAAAAGAGCATTTTTAAGCCATTCAGAAGTAGGGTTGAAAAGGGGCGGAACATTTCCAGTACATTTCCAGTGAATTTCCATGGGAAGTTAAGCTAGGGAATTTTGGAAATATTCTATATTGGAAAATTTCCATGGGATAATGGGAATTTATGGGAACTAACTGGAAATTGAGGGTAATGTAATTTAATTGTATCATATCCAAGCATAAATATAAACATTTGGTTTTGTCATAAGAAAACATCCATGCAAAATGATAGAATAAAAAAACATGTCTTCATGGTGCTATGTGCATGTGATGGAGGAATGGCATGGACATTCAAGTGTACTTGAATGGCATCTGTTTGTTTTAGTCAAGATTATGCTAAAAAATATATTTCCCCCATATGTAAGTTCCCTATGAAGAGCCAACCTTCAATTTAGACAATTCCCAGTTGATTCTCGTTGATTCCCTTAAATTCCCGTTTATTCTCGTGTATTCCCATGGAAAGTTTCCATTTTTGAAAATTCCCGGAATTTTGCAACCCTTTTCAGAAGCACACAGTTTCATCCTCCAAGTATTAACCAATAGCATTTCTTGAATAATCCACACATAGTAATCCTAATGCGTTTATGTGATGTTCATGAATTTGTTCCCCAAATAGAAAAGCTATGTTTCCTTGTGTTGGAAAGACAATTTAAGGACTGAAAACTAAACATATTATCTTGGTAAGCTTACTCTTCATTTTTAAAATGTCCTTTATCCTAAGCGAAGAACACTAATTGGTGAATCCTTGAAATTAAACTTCACTTATCAAATAGAAAGAAATCATGGATATGGATAAAAACGTATATCATTATAAAATAAAATGTTCTTATAATTGTCAGAATCCCCCAATCAAAAGGTTGGACACAAATAATCCAGATGTGTTTTTGCTTCCTGTGCTGGTTTAATGTTCCCCTGCTATAATAATTAGTAACTGTTGCATAAACAGAAAAACTTAAATAGCAAAAGACAAACAGAGCACTTACCTTCAAAATGAAGTACCAACATGAGTATTATTGCCAATCGAGCCATCCTCTGCATCTTCTTCTCTGGAATCAAACGACGATGTTTGAGGGCTTTTAGTGTCCGGTACAGAGCTTTCTGTCGATGGTGAAACTTCCTTTTTTGTGGTTGGGTTTGTAAGTTAATTATAATACTTTTTGCAAAACAGCATCCGTCCGCCTTTCACTGTTTAACCTTTCACTTGGAAAAAAAGTTTGAATGGGAAACTGAGGTCACAGATTTTCCGACGAAATGCTGGGTGGGATATTGATTAACCTTAGCAACAAAGACAACAACACATTAACTTTCCATATCTGATGTGATTCAGTTAGACAATAACTTCAAACTACACTAAATCCACCTCGTTTTTTTTAATAATCGCAGGTACAATCTGGTAAGAAGACAAGGTTTGAAGAACATTTGGTTGAGGTGCACTAAACAGTGTATTAATTAACAATATCAGAAGATGATTTTATGTCTCTACTTATGGGGGAGCCGTTCAATTGTCTTCTAAATCGAAGATACAAGGCTTTTCCGTGATATTCAAATGACTGTAAATAGTGAGCAACCATCAGGTAAATGACAAAACACCATGAAGACATTTAAAGACAGTAAAATGCTTTTATTGTTGTGATCAGACTCAGTGTATTTTGATTTGAAATGTATAGAGTAATGTCATCTGCATATAACGTGATTCTAGTTCAACATCGTAAAAAAAAATGACTTGAAATCCAACAGCAGCTTCACAGATAACTGAAATGAAACATTTTGAAACATTTTTTTTTCAACAATCTGCACCAATAGAAATGTCTCCAATGCAGTTTAGGGTCAAAAGGATAAGGCTGGCAATATTCTGTATTTGATCTTTGTCAATTTATCGAGATGAAGACACTGTATGTACCCATAACTAATCGTGTGTTTCAAAGTCTGATACATCTTCTCACTTCTGAGCCCCATTGTTGTCCAACAACTATCAATTAAAATCAAATCAAACATGGATCCGCCGCTGAAAATTGTTCTTAAAAAATGTAGTGTCTGTACTGGGACATGTCTCCATGCTTTAATGTTCAAAAAGCTCTTTATTGTTCTCATACTGCCTGTGCTGCAGCACCTCTTTTCACCCTCTGTCTGAAACCAGAGCCCAGTCTGCTCTGATTGGTTAGCTGGCCGGCTCTGTTGTGATTGGTCAACCGCTTAGAGATGTCCCGCCCCTTAGCCTATCAGATACAATGTGTTGGAGTGCTAGCCAATACAAGCATGAGTGTTACAATGTGATGTCACTAAGTTATGGAAGTAAACAAAGGACAACACATGACTTTTTTCCAATTCGACCTTGTGAAATATTTTTTGGTAACAATGGACAAATGTTAAAAAAAACATCTTGTAAACAACGTAAAAGTTGGCGGATCAAACATGACTGAAGATGCATTGTAACAAATGACAAAAATATTTAAAAAAACTAAGAGATTTAGAATAGAATAGTTATTAGCCGGACTTGACTAAACAAATAAATGAAATGACCGTATGCAAGACTAAAGTGCTCTAAAACAGTTTGTGTTATAAAAACTAGACAAGGTCATATATTAATACATGTTTACAAAAAATTGACGAAATAAATATTGTAAACCAAAAACAGAACAGATGTAACAGTTGCCATGTTAAAGAGATGTTAGGGAATGTACAGGGTATGTTCTGAGGGTTGAACTTCTCTCTGCAGATGTTATTCTGGGAGCTGGAAACATGTTGTAACCATTTCCTGAAACAGCATGTCATTGCCCACGAGCCATCGAACAATACAGTTTCTTTCATGAGTCATATTTAAAAAAGAAAGTAGTATTTTGGACATAATGCTGTGAATTCAGCATCATTCTCACCAAGTAAAAAAAGGCTCTATTCTATGTAACAAAAAAAACTAACATACATCTAAAAAATAAATTAATATAGTTTTTTGTTTTTCTCCTTCCCCCCTCTGCTTGCTTTGTTAGTGTAACACACCACAAGATGGCGCTGTCCTCTCATCTGTGAGCTGTCAGTCTGTACAGAGTGTGATAGAGACATTGAAAACACATCTCAATCATAACACTGAGTATAAAACCTAAAGTTGTGCGTGTGTTCCTGATTGTGCACTGAACTCAGAACACTGTTTGGTCTGCTGTGGTTTATGTATGAAAACACCGCAGTGACTACGTTTCATCTGCAGACAGTTATTTCTCTGATATCTCCCTCAAAGTGTTTCGCTTCTTGGTGTCGGATATGTCCGGGATCCTTCATACAACAAAATGGACTCTTATAGGACGCTCAGAGATGCACTCCTGAAATCTAAGAGACAAATTCAATTACGATTAAAATTGTGCTATTTTTTCGCAGTAATCAACGCGCGCTGAATTCGCCTTCCCCTGCTGTAACGTGCCCAGTTGGTCCCAAAGAAAGAATTTAAAGCGGCTATCATAGATTTTCTATTAGATGAATGTATGTTAATTCAATATCTATCGCCATATGAGTGAGTACCACAACGGTGAAGTATTGCAATATTTATATATTAGCCGTTTTCAGACGGACTGACTGTGGTAATGTTCGTGGAGATAATGCTATTTATTATCATTTCACATTAAAAGCATAATGTGACGAACATACAGTTACTTATTATGTAGTCACAGGAAATGCCTTTGTTTTGTCTCTGACCTTGAAGATTTTTATTCCAAATGTGTCTTCAAATAGTGGACTTTTTAGGCCTTTTTGATCAGCCGAAGAGCTGTTCATATATTTAAGGGAGTAATGGAAGAGTCAGGTGCCGCCCCAGTGACTAGTGCTAGTTATAGTAGCTCCTAATATTCTGGGATGTGCAGTATTTAATCACATTTGTATTTCCTCCCAGTAAATAGGGTTTTATCAATCAGGACTGAAAACCGAAAGATTCCCGCTTTAACTCGTATAGATCGATGTGCCAACAAGTACATCTGCAAATAAAGGAGCATTTCGGACCCCCCCTGACTTAAATGTCATAAATTTAGCACAAAGTTTGCATATTATTCTGCCGACTAAAAGAAAACGGGCTCAAGCATTCGCAGCTACTTCTTGTCTTGAATATGCAAGCAGCACTATAATGACTGCGTCTATCCAAAGCAGCTCGGAACCAAATGTGAGTTGTTCTCCTTCTTCCACAGCTAACATTACCACTGTCATAATTACGGAAAACGTTCAAATGAAGCCACATGAACAACATTTACAATCAGAGGATGATTCAATTAAACTCAGGAGATGTCGGTTCTGTGCAAAAGCAAACCAAGCGACTCTGTAGTTCTTCTTCGCTGCCTCCAAACGAAAAAGCTTCACCGGAGTGTTTCCTGTGTACAGCAAACGTGTGACGGCGATCTACGAACTGGAAGTCAGTCCTTGTTTAAAAGGCAGACTCACATTCAGTAATCCAACTAGGAGCACCATGCTTCACACAAGAAGAGCAGCAGTAATCCTCTGCAGTCAGTATTCACCCTCAGCGTCTTATTGGTCTCCACATCCAGGGTTTCTAATCATCAATCAGCGTCAATAAAGTTCACCTTTAGGTCCTTCACATGTGTTTGATGCCCACAGATGTGCCCGAGCAGCAGGGAGACCTTCCTCCTCCTGACATCCAGTGACTCAGCAGCATCACAGCGAGGTTTCACGGGAAAAGCTGACCGAGGTTTCAAGATTGTCTCCGTTGGTTTTCTCTCCTGGAGAGCAGTCCTCGGGGCAATTGGTAGCAAGCTAGGAAAGAGAAAGAGAAAGAGAAAGAAAAGGTTAAATGGGGATCATTTATGTGCTGTTTACACGGGAACGAAACGGGTTGTATCCGCTACTTGAAATCTTTCGTATAGCCCGTTCGTTCACACGAGGCCGTAACGGAACCGGACCCCTAAAACGATAACGTGTCCCGAGGTGGATAGATCTGCGGACAGAACAATCTGGGGGACCAAACTGCTCTGTGTGTACGTCCTATACGATCATTTTCCTGATAACGATGAAGCCATAGCCCCGCCTCTCCCCACCTCTGCTGCTCACTGCTGTAGCATGGTCAGTAGCTACTGCCCATGCTACAGATGTTAGTGCAACATCTACAGCTCCTCTACCACAACCATCAGCAAAGTGGACATGGAGGACTACATGAACTACATGTTGCTAAATCCACCACGGAGAATAAACAGAATGGCAACCATGGCAACCATACTCGGGGGTCTTCTTCGCTGCTTTTGGTGTATTTTGTGGCGGAAGTACAGCGCCACCTACAGGCCCGGCATATGTACTACAGCGTATCCAGCGCTTTCAAGCGGTCTCGTGTGAATGGGCACGTTTATTGAGCCGTATCCGTGTGAACGGAAGACTTTTTTGATATCGAATTTGGTTCGTTTGCGTTTGCGTTCCCGTGTAAATGGGGTCTTAAGCTATACCTCAAAGATTTGTTTAGGAGAAAAACATCTAAGTTATTGCTTTAAACTCTCCAATAAACTCTCAATAAACCTGACACAAAACAGGCCATGAAGTTGCATGACTCTCATTTTATATATTTATGTGATTTTATGATTATATTACCTTTCAAATTGTTCTTAAGAAAAATGAATATCAGTGCATTCAAACACCACCAGGTGGCGCCAAAAGAAAGCTAAGTTAAAATCCTTCACATGCAGGTTTTAGTAGTTGTAAATTGAGGTAGCCGTAACGGCCCGTCCACACAGCAGCTTAAAAAAAATCTTTCAACGCTTCTCTGCCCATTGACTTTGAATGGGGGTGACGTCACTTTGCCTCGCTTTTCGCCGAACTGCATTGTGGGGAAACAAAGCGAAGATTTCCAGGATTTTCAGGATTTTCAGGATTCAAAAGTTGAGCAATGTTCAACTTTTGAAGCTGAGCTGGAAGCGTCAGCCAATCATATCCCGTTTATGCAAATCCTACAGTACAAGCGCTAGCCAATCAAACCGCGTGCAAGCTGGGAGAGCCAGACCGCAGTTCATTTCCTCATATTCCAAACGAGAAATTACGGTAGCAAATCACCCGGTTCTTTACGACCAGAACTATTTACCGGGATACAAACCGGAGGAACCAGGCATGGAGGGAGGTGGCAGAGACAGTGGGTGAAACTGGTAGGTTTTC